AGAATTATTCATGTGAGTGAGCTTTTGAAGATCCGGCTCTGGAATTGACATTACTAGTGAGGTCACATGGAAAAAAAACAAAGGAAAAAGAGAAGCAGCATCTGTACCTATTTAGGAATATAAGATTTCTATTTTAGTACCATTAGCCTTTCTTCCTACATATGGTTTGCCAAAATATATAAAAAATATATCAGAATGAATATTACTTTCCAGATTTTACTCTGTAGTTTGTTTTAAGGATTTTATTATAATGTGGTAGCCATGTACTATACACAAAACATTTGTTTGGGTAGCATAACAATGTGTTCCTGCAAACAAGTAGGTTGCAACCCACCTGTTATCTCAGGCCAATTTAATCCTAAAACATTTTATGTCTTCCCTCTGTAAACCGTGTGAACTCCTTTCAGATGTATTTATGTATGGATCTTCTCGCTCTTCAAAACAAGATGACAAATTTCCCCTTTCCTTACAAAAACACACATACAAACAGGTTCACAATCGCCTATTTCCTTTTTAATGCAAACAGTTCTATTTTGGATTTATCACAGGTCATTAGTTTGCTCCTTTTTTAAAAATCAATGAAAGCAGCTCCTTGTCTATACTCCCTGCTACCTATTTCTTCTGACTCCAATTACAATAGCTGCCCTCCTCAAATTACAAACATTAAAAAAGGGGCCATAGCTACCATCTACTTTTATCTTCACGTAGTTAAGAGATGTTAAATACACATGTTCCTTGTAAATTTTAGTGCCCAATTATTCCCCCCCTCAGGAGTACTGGTTTAGCTGATAAAGAAGATTTTGCCATCATAAGAAAAATATACAGTTCTAATGTAAACTAATTGAGAGAATATGCAGAATATCTGTGACCATATGATTCTTTTCACTCAAACTATTCACTCATGTTTCATCTATTCTTTGACTCCTATTATATGAAAAGCAAATGTAGCAAATATCTTGTATTGCATGAAATTAATTATTCATTAAAAAACATCAGTTTATCATTTATAGAGGTAAGGCTGGATCCTGCAGTCCCTTGACTAAACTTCTATTGAAGTCAGTGGAAGGTTTTCCTGAACAAGGAGTATAGAATTGCACCCATATTTTTTATATTTAGGATGTGTTTGGTTTTATACAAGAAGAATACTCCCTTTGTCTTATTGTCTTTGGGTCTTTTATAACTGGTTACCAATATAAAAATGGTATGTTTCATATTCTAAAGAAAACTGTATAAACCAAGAAACACATTGGCACTGTAGGTGGTTTGGGGGGTTTATTTTATTACTCATGCCAGTAGTTCCATTCAGAGTCATGTGGGATTACTACTGTAAGGAAGGACTTGCTGGCAATGGTCCACTTTTCTTCAAAATATGCTGGCCAGCCCCATTAAACAAGAGAAGTTAACCAAAGCAAGGTCATTTGTCTTTTTCATTATTTATTCTGAAATCCACAAACCAATCTCTAAAAACAGTAATATCTGAGCACATCTTAAACCAGTCGAATAATCTGGGCAAGAGCTGCATAAAGGGCCTGATCCTGCAAGCCTTCCTTCTGCGAGTAATTTTTACTCATTGGAAGAGTCCTATTGAAGTCAATGAATTTACTCCTGTGAGTAAGGATTACTCGCATGAGGAATGATTGCAGGATGGGGCCCAAAGTAAATAAGAACATGTAAACCAAACTCACACAGTCACTGAAATAGTTTTTACAAAGACAAGATAATAGCTGAAGACACGATTTTGCCACTATATTTAAGGTTGGGTTAATAACTAACGTTAGTTATCGATTATATTAAATAGGAGTTATCAGGGTGTATTTCAAATAATACCATACTATATGTAGACCAGAGATAGAAAGTGTTTGGGATGATTTAACTCTCCTGTTATGTATTTACAGACCCAAACATGCCCCCCATTGGGAATTTGCATTTTTTATTTATAGCCAAGTTAATTAAAGCCACTATTTCTGTATCTGCAATGAACTTCATGATCTTCATTCTGCATCAGTTTTAAAGAGGTCTGAAATGCATAAACATTGGCATAAGTATGTAGGTTTACAAACATACTTAAATTATCTTAGGAAAGAAAAAAGAGAAGAACAAATTCCTTCTAAACAAGCGGTGAAGCAGACACGTCGGAAAACCCCAATAATTACTATATTACAACTAGCCATTAAATAGTCACTCATGAGAAATTCTTTGACTATGGTTAAAAAAAGCCCTACTGCCTCAACTTTGTCAAAGCTGCTGGGAACCTAGCTTCAAAGGAACAGGAAAAGCTGTGGTTTTTACATTTAACCCTTCCTCTGGATGTCAGTCAACAGCACCAGTTACGCCTCCTCTCATTACAAGCAAAACTAGCTGGAAGCAAAGCAAAAATCTTTGGCACAGAGCGCTCCGTGCAGCCCAAACCAGATGCCTTTTCACACTTTCAAACTTTCACTAACATTTCCCGGGCCACGAGAAAGCCCCAAATGGCTTCACTGGCCCCGGAACCAACAATACCCTGACCCAGGCTGATTTATCTAATAATTGTTACTTCTGTAATTGCTTGTAGGAGGCCAGCAGCCGCCAGCTCTCAACCTTCCCTTTTGCCCCAGGCTGTCTCAGTTCTGCTCCACTTTTCCAGTACACCAGCAGGCAGGAAAACAACTCATGGGGATTTGCAGGCTCAGGCTCCCACTTTCGCTCATGCAAATTCACAGCCAGAGCACTTAATGCACATTACTCTCAACTGAGAGCTTTTCATGCTTCTGCACACACACACACAAAAATCCCTCCCACCAGCAGCATCCTCCCTGCCACCATCATCCCCCTCCGCCCCCTGCTGCTGGCTGGGATTTAGGTGGTGAGAGTGGCGGAAAGCCCTCTGGCCCCTTCAGATCTAACACCCTCTGTAGGAAGCAGTCCGGAGGGCGAGGGGGCTTACCGCCATCCCAGGACGGTTCCTTCCCTTCTTACTCCCTACGGCAGGGAGCCCCCCTCGCCTCCCCTCCTCTCCCTTGTATTTTTCACCCAGGCAGCACTTTTAGGAGGCAGCTCGGAACAAACCCTCCATTGTGCGATCCAGCCCTGTTATTTCCTTTTAGACAAACTTTGCCCTGGGGTTGCCTGGTTCCCCGCGGTCTGAAGGGCCGGGGCGGAGAGAAGCAGCAGAGCAAGGGCGCTCAGGGGAGGGAAAGGGCGAGGAGTTTCCTTTCCTAAAGGATCTTTGTCGCTCCTTCAGGATCGGGCCAGCGCGGACAGTTAGCAAGAGGGGGTCAGCCCAGTGGCCCCTCCAGTGCGGGTGGCAGGACCATGGGGGAGGGATCGCCTGAGCCGCCCCCACCCCAGTGCCAGAGAGAGGAGCTGACAGCAGCAGCTAGAGGGGGCGGGGACCCGTCCTGCCCGAGAGCCACCCTTCGCTCGGAGCCGACTGGCGCTACGGGGAGTCAGCCCGTGGTGGCCCCCGACACATACACACACCCCAGCTAGGAGTGGGGGGAAGGGGGCAGCGCCAGAGCCTCCCCCTCGCCCTGCTGCAAAGCAATGACAGGAGCCCGCGGCTGGGAGGGGGAGATCAGCCCAGAGCGCCAGCCCCATGCTAGCGAACAAAGCCAGCCAGGCAGCAGGGCACATCAACACCCAGGGACCGGCATGGGCACGGGGGGCGCGGGGCAGAGCGCGCGGGGCTCCCAGCCGGCTCCTTTGTTCCACACCCAGCGCCCCCGTCAATAACAACAGCGTCAATACCCGGGTTAAAGAGCAGCGCCCAGGGATTACGCACGTGCAAGGCGCCCACATTGTCCCCATAACAAAGACGCCCCAGCTCCCTCCGGGACGCTCTGCAGCCCCGGGACGAGCAGCTAAAGGCGCAGGTGGGAGCCCCGCATCGCAGGCAGCGCGCACGCCCAGCGGCCGGGGCAAAGCAGCCCGGCTCCGCGCCCGCTGCGAACAAGCGGGCTGAGTGAGGTGCAAGGACCAACGCGTTCAGCCCCGCTAGCGCCCGAGCCCGGGAGGGACGCCCCTGTTTGCCAGCGGGCTGAGCAGCCAGACTGATTAAAAAAAGGCAGCCCAAGCCGCAAGCTGCCCGGGCAGGGGCAGCCGCACAACGTGTGCGAGGGCAGGCGGCTCTCCCCCGCCTTCCCGAAGCGCTGCAAACGCTGCCGAGCTAGAAACCAGCAGGCAACCTTAACCGCACACCGAACACGCTCCTCCCGGACCCGCCAGTGCAAGCCAGGAGGAGCCTTCCTTTGCAAGCAACCCAAAGGATTAGATATAGATATGGAGAGGGGAGTACTGTACCTTTTCGGTGCATGTATCTAGGCAGCTAGAGGACAAGAACTAGCTGATGTAGTGTCCCATTTAGTAATCCATTTAAGGGGATCTCTCTGGGAAACTGGATCCACTCTCTCCTTTGCAATCCTTTGTCAGTACTACATGTGTGCTTCTTTGGGGGATGGGATGTTTAATATTGCTACTTTCTGGAATGCAAATGCAATTTGCTCATTTCCAATGACGGGAGAGAAAAGGGGGAAGAGGAAAAAAGGTTTAGCAACTCCTCTCCAAACCCAAATTCCACTAGGATCCTACTCCAGGAAGTCCCCTTCAGTCGAATCTTAGGAGATAAGTCATTTCAGGGTCTTGTCCTGCTCCCTTTCTACCAAAAGTGCGCCAGGTGTAGAGGCTGCTTCAGGAAAACTCCTAGGCAGGCGGCACTCTGTACGCCGCGGCAGGAAAGCGCGGTTGCTTTAGCCCAAAGCTCCTGGTCATTGAACTGTGTTTGTAGAGGAGTTCAGAGTAACCTCTCTCCCCGTGCCCTGCTAGTCTCCGAGTCCCAACTCCTCTGTCAAAGGAAGGCTGCTACGCTGCGGGTGGAGTCAAATCCCGGACTGGATCTCTCCAGATGGACTCACTTGATTCCACCCACCCTTCCTTTCCAGTCCCTTGCTATAACGAACAAGGATGAGCATGTGCAATGGGTAGGGGATAGGGTGAGAGCATGGCAAGTTTCCAAGTGGATATTCCCCCTCCCCCTCCTCCCCGCCCCCCGACATGTACAAACAAGGCGATAACGAAAGTGAAGAGCTGAAAAAGCCCTTACCCCATATACAGTATTGATGTACAGTGCTGTGTTTGTAATCAGGACGGGGGGTGAAGCAGCGATGAGAGAAGTATTACTGATTGTTGACGCAAAAAAAAAAAAAAAAAAAAAAGGCAAGGAAGAAGTGCTCCAGGAGAGGAGATACAAGACAGAATTTGCTCATCGATTTTCTTAAATGGAAGTTTTAAAGGATATGGGTAAGTGAATTGTTAAGACTTTCTAATTCTGAGAACTGTTCCGGTGCTCACATCCTAGAGCAATGAACATCCTACACACAAAGCGAGTTGCCTATAAGATACGTAAAATAACTGTTCAGTACATAGTAGTCTTGTAAAAATATGTAGATATAACAGCTCTTGAAAGAAAATATATGCCAAGAATAAACAATAAACTAACAGAACTGCTATGATAGTCTGAATATTGTGCTTGAACTTTTGTATTTACATGCAGTGAGAATTTTTTTAATTTAAATTCTTAACAAAGTGAATGCAGTGCCAAAAAAAAATCCCCAATAAAAAATCCTACACACGCACATTTTAAATATTTGATTTATTTTATACAGGTGCATGAAGAGAGGGAAAGGGATAACCTTCCTTCTAAAAACATCAAATTGCCAAGACACAGCCTCCATCCATCGCCCATGTTAAAAAAGACTTTTTTAAGGGGAAACTTGCCAAAGGCCAAAAGATCCTCACTTCTCTCCCTTCCCAAGGCATATCCTTCTTTCTATTCCACATGTATACGTTTATGTTTACCTCAGATTTGTACTGAGTGAGGCAACCAGAAATGCTGGCAATCGAAATTTTCCACCATCGCGATTGTTCCGGGTCCACTAAAACTATTTCCAGTAGCAATCTTTCGTTTTAAGAGACAGAACCAGCAAAATAGCAGGGAGCTACACTTGTGTATCAAGATCTGCAGAAGATGGCCATGAAAAAGCGCCCGGAGACAAAAACAAATCAGAAGCCTCAGGTGGTCTAACTTGTACCTCTGAAACCGAAGTGCCACTGCGTGTGTACACAAGGGACCCAGCATATGCCTATATATAAGTACAGTCTGTGTGTGCCTCTCAGATGAGATGATTAAGAACATGCACGCACACCACAGCTCTACCTAGCTTAGAGGGGTTTAGCCTTGGGAGAAAGACGTCTCAGAGCTGTCCCTCGCTGTTTTCCCTGTGTGCCAGAAGGGGCCGCTGCACTGATTCGCCAGGGCAAACAATGCGAGGGTTGATTCCATTTGCAAAGTTGCTGCCTGATCCGGCTTCCTCCGAAGGCGACGGCAACCCCCCCCTCCACTAACTTCAGTGGCAGCAGGCTCGGACGCCCGAGTTGCGCACGGCTTAGCAGGGCGGGAGCTCCCTGCCTCCTGTCACGCTCGTAGGGCACCGTGGCGCATTTCTCAGCGGCGCGGTCCGCCGAGACGCAGACACAGCCCCTCCCGCTCCAGGCTCCGCTCTGTACAGACAGACCCAGGCTACGTACAGCTCTCGCTACCTCTCTAGGTTGCGGAACGCATGTTCTGTGGAGGAGTATCGCAGTCTATTGTGTAAGCCCCCATCGCGTTTTACTGACATTACCCGTTCGCCGAGGGCCCTAAGCTGAAGTACCATGATGCCACCCCGTCCGATGGCCCTCCAGGGAAACAGGGCTGGGCCCGGGCGGCAGAGCGGGTCGCAGTTGTCTCCCCCACCCCACCGATCCCAGTTTGCGAGCGGCTGGCTGGCTTAATCCGTCCGTGTCTCAGAGCCAGCGAGGCGCAAGAACACAGCTCATAAATTAATCCGCCGAGCGGGAACCCCGCTGCCGCTCAACGCCGCTGCTCCGGCGGGTGGCAGCAGGAGCGCCCCCCAGGCTCAGGTGCGGCGGAGGAAGAGCGCAGCCTGTCTTTCGCGCTTGCCTCCAGCAGCAGCCCCAGCCCCACACTCCGCGGCTGATTTACATGTTAATTGTGCCTGGGAAAACTTCTGTAATTGCCGGAATTAGGCAGAGCAAACGGATTGTTTCACAGGCTGAACCAAATTAATTCCAGGTTTAGCTCCTTCCCTTAGAGAAACAAACAATTAAGCTGTCTTGTTTGCTTTATGGATATCGTTGAAATGGGAGACACGTTGCTTTTCTAGAGGGGGCGGGGTGGGGTTTTCTTTCGCAGGATGTATTGTTATTTTGAATATTAATGTTTATTTACTTATTTTATTTCACAGAGTCGCTAAATGGAGAGGATATTTCTATTGACTTTTTTTGCACAATCCGATCAGTAACACACTGATTTATAATTGCTTACCTTTTCATAGCATATCACTAAAGAAAGCTGCGTCCCTCCTCTCTGATTTTCCAAATCCGCTGCATTACGATCCAGTTAGACAGCTATCATTTCAAACCGTTTGGATTTCGATTATGAGATGAAACCGCAGTGGAAGCCACGTGTAAATCCGCTCGCTTGGAGCTCTAAGACTCTTTTACCAGTGCCTTTGTGACAGCAAGCGAAGGAGCAGGGGGAATAAAAGCAAAAGATCCCCCATCCCCCTTTTGCTGATTTCAGCCTGTTCCTTCTCTGACTGCTGAAGCTAAAACCTAGGGGCTATATGGTCAAAACCTGACACTCACAGACAGGACTGACGTTCAGAGTGCTCAATCCCACTTCAATCAGTTGGTCTCCAGTTTGAAACAAAGCACTGCTTGGGACGTGGGAGGGATGCAAACCACAGTGGATTCTCTTTACAGTGAATGAAGTGCAATTCAGTGCAGCACATGGAGACTTCTCAACGATCTTAAATCTGGATATAAAACATAACCTTTAAAGTCCTGGGAAGGAGCTAAACTATAACCTGAATTCATTTGGGGGATGCAAGACCTCCTCTTGTCTTGATCTAACTAGTGTGCAAATGTTTCCTAACAGTACTTTTACTGTATCTGCCACATGAAAAGATCCACAGGGCTGCTGTCCTTTCCCTTTCAACAATAATTCTACTGTACTGCATTGAATCTTTAGCTCCATTCACTTTTTATATTAAATTATTGTTTGGGAAATTAAAAAAGATACTGGAGCGGAATAAGATAAAAATATCAAAGATTAAACAACCTAGATCTGTAACTTAAAAAAAAACAATAAAAAATTGCATATTTTCTCGAGGTCTTCAATTGTGTGGTATGGACCTTAATGTCTTCAATAGTAATTTCCATCTTCCAGGTCTCAACTGACCCATGTTACAATAGCAGCCTCAAGTAATACATTTTAGAACCAGATAAGTGAAATGATGGAGTGCAGTCTACAGCTAGGGGATTTACTAGTTGGCCATAAGAAGCATGACATTAAAATAATTACTTGTTTATGACAACTGTGTTTCTGCCTTTTACTTTTAGATAATGAAAGGACTGCTAGAAATTGGCTTTCCTGCGGTATTTGTTTTAGGATCTAAAGTTACACACAAATACATTCAATTTCTAGCGGTTAGATTACAAGGAAAAAGACTTTTCTGGTATCAAGCAAATTCCCCCACCCCCAGCCCTTGACAGTTTAAACGGAATATGTACTTAGAGTAATTTTCTAACCAAAGGAACAGAGACGTTATATATTTTCTTTCTTTTCACTGGAAATTTAAAACAAGACAGCTCTGCACCAAGCAGAATAATTACTAAGGATGGATACATGTTAACTAAACAATGTTACCCTAAATCTGAAATTCGAGCAACTGAACTGAACTAGTACAGTACCCATTATTTGGGTACCAAATCCAGTGTCAGGGATGAAGCCAGATGAATGGGATTTGATTTAACAAGAGCCCTTGCCCCACACCCCTAAAGTGGCACCATACTGATATTATGCTTCTTCTATAACTCACCAGAAATAGAAACACTGAAAGAATCTCTCCCCCACAGACTGAGGCCATCTTTTCAACAATATGCAACATTTACATTAGATTCTGTATTGCTTGGGAACCCAAAATTCTATTGACTTTCCTGGAAATTTGAAGGGGAAGCAAAACAAGATCCAGCCCAGACCGTTCACTTCATATTCTACCAAAATTTCAGAAATACTCTCACACTTGTTCTCCTCTGTTCAGAGTAAAAAAGACTCTCAAATGGATGGGTTTTTTTTTAAACTTAGGTTCTCATGAATATAGACCAGATTTTTATATTTCAAAAGGCTTTGCAAGAAGAGGCAGCTGAGAAAACCTATTTCCTTATTTACCAAACAACATTATTAGTAGTGAGAAATTATATTGTTTGAGCCTTTTTCAAAGCTCTTTTTCTGTTTCCTATCCAACGGCTTTCTATCTGTTCCTTTCTGCACTGATTCATTTCTCCTCTTCAAATCTCACATTCGAAACTTCCTTTCTGCTTCAGTCTCTGAAACTCACTTTTCCTTTCTCCCCTTACTGCACCCTTCCATTCTCAGCTGACTAGAACCAGTCTGCAAAATTATCCATTTGCATCTTCACGGCTTCAAACATTGTAGCTCTTTCCTTTTACTTAACTCCATCTCTACTTCATTTTCACTTTCTCTCGGTATCCAACTCAGTGAAGTGTTCTTTCTCCTTTTCTCTTCTACCTCCCTCTGCAAAGTATTTTGTGCTATTTTTAATAGTGTTGTAACATCAGCCTTCACACTATCTTTATTTTGTGGTGGGGTCTGATCTTCTGAAAACTGAGCAACAAATCCTGCTCACCTTAATACATGAACTTGCTGGGCCTATGCACGTGAATATGACGAGGAGGATTTGGCCCCATTAGCCTACTTTTTATTCAGGGCCAGCTCCAGGCACCAGCGTTCCAAGCAGGTGCTTGGGGCGGCAGTTCGGAAGGGGCAGCAGTTCCTCCGGCCCCGGCGGCAATTCGGCGGCAGCTTCTTCCTTTTGCCATCCGGGGCGACAGTTTTTTTCAGTGCTTGGGGCGGCAAAAACTGTAGAGCCGGCCCTGTTTTTATTGTAGGGTAAAGGTACTGGCTAAATTCTTAAATGCCTAACGGCCACTTCACATGCCTAAATCCCAGAATCAGGCCACTAAGAGTCACCAAACCCCAGCTCTGTTGCCCCAGAACCCTGTAGGTGCCTAAACTTGCTCAGAACCTACATTGTTGCAGTAAAAGTTCCCTAGGTGCGTATGTTACTGCCTCTGAGCATAAGCGGTCTGCGAGGCATCCGGACACTTAAGACCCAGAGTGATGCGTAAACTGGGGGAAGATAGATATTCCTCTATGTAAATTGCCTGCAGGACCTAATCCTGTAAGCGTACTCAGACCTTGCCTACTGGATGAGACCTCTATAGGTGAGCTTTGCACAAAATGAGGAGAGGAGGAGCTCCTTCCTAACTTTTAGCCCAGTGGTTAGGGTACTCACCTGAGATGTGGGAGATGCCCAGGTCAAGTACCGCCTCCACCTGAGGAGATGGGATTGTGAACTAGGCTATACCACCTCTCAGGTGTGTACCCAAACCACTGGGCTATGGGATATTCTGATGTGGGGGCACCCTAAATCTCTCCTGTTGAAATTGTTGCACTGTGGCTAACAAATAAAAAGAGTCACTGGAGCAGGGGGACTGGATCCTGGGTCTCCCACCTCCCAGTTCAGGCTAAAGAGTCAGCATCATTCTCATCCTCTCTCTGTCACTCTCTCACCCAATAACTTGAGGTGGCTAGAGTACTGAGTTAGGAGACTCAGGATCCAGTCCCTCTGCTCCAATAACTTTTTGTATTTATTATCCACAGTACAACAGCTACAACAGGAGAGTGTGAGGGAGCCCTACATCAGAACATCTGTAGCCCAACTGTTAGGGCATTCAACTGCAAGATGGCAGATCCCTGTTCAAATCCCTTCTCCCTCTTAGATGGAGGGGGAACTTGAACCTGGGGTTCTCCCATATCCCAGGTAAGTGCCCTAACCACTGGGCCAAAAGGGAGCTCCTAAATACCAAGGCCAAAAGGGACCATTGTGATCATCTAGTCTAATCTTCTGTATAACACAGGTCATGGAACTACCTCAAAATAATTCCTCCAGCAGATCTTTTAGAAAAACATTCAATCTTGATTTTAAAATTGTAAGTGATGGAGATTCCACCATGATCCTGGTAAATTGCTCCAACGGTTAATTACCCTCAGTGTCAAAAATGTATACCTTATTTCCAGTCTGAATTTGTTTAGCTTCAACTTCCAGCCATTGGATCATGTTATACCTTTCTCTGCTGCACTGAAGAGCCCATTATGAAATATTTTTTCTCCATGTAGATGTTTATAGAGTGTAATCAAGTCACCCCTTAAGCTTCTCTTTGTTAAGCTAAATCGGGGTAGGCAAACTACGGCCCGGAGGCCGCATCCGGCCCTTCAGATGTTTTAAGCTGGCCCTCGAGCTCCTGCCAGGGAGCGGGGTCTAGGGCTTGCACCGCTCCACGCATGCCGTGGCTCTGCACAGCTCCGAGAAGCAGCAGCATGTCCCCTCTCTGGCTCCTTCATGTAGAGGCAGCCAGGGGGCTCTGCACGCTGCCCCCACCCCAAGTGCCGCCCTGCAGCTCCCATTGGCCGGGAACCAAAGCCAATGGGAGCTGCAGGTGTGGCGCCTGTGGATGGGGCGGTGCCTGTGAATTGTGCAGGATGCAGAGCTGCCTGGCCATGCCTCCACATAGGAGCCAGAGCGGGGACATGCTGCTGCTTTCGGGAGCTGCTTGAGGTAAGCGCCATCCGGAGCAGGTGCCCCTGACCCCCTCCAGTGCCCCAACCCTCTGCCCCAGTCCTGATCCCACTCCTGCCCTCCGAACCCCTCAGTCTCAGCCTCCAGCACCCCAGAGTCCACCCTGCTAGCTGCAGCCCTCACTCCCCCACCCACATGCCAACCCCCTGCCCCAGCCTGGAGCCCCCTCCCTCACCCTGAACTCCTCATTTCTGGCCCCACCCCAGAGCCCGCACCCCCAGCTGGAACCCTCACCTCCCTCCCACACCCCAACCCCCAATTTTGTGAGTATTCATGGCCTGCCATAAAATTTCCATACCCAGATGTGTCCCTAGGGCCAAAAAGTTTGCCCACTCCTGAGCTAAATAGATTGAGCTCTTTTGGTATGTCTACACAGCAATTAGTGCCAGCTGACTCTGATTTACAGGGCTCAGGGACTGTTTAATTGTGGTGTAGACATTCAGGTTTGGCTAGAACTCAGGCTCTAGGACCCTGCAAGATAGGAGGGTTCCAGAGCCTAAGCTCTAGCAAAGCCTAAACATCTACACTGCAATTAAACAGATCCTTAGTCCGAGCCCCATGAGCCTGATTCAGCTGCTCTAGGTCAGCCGCAGGTGCCTAATTGTAGTGTAGATATACCCTTTGAGTCTATCACTACAGACATGTTTTCTAAGGCATGTTTTCTAATACTTTAAGCATTCTTGTGGCTCTTCTCTGAATCCTCTCTCAGTTATTGACATTCTTCTTGTGGGGACCAGAACTGGACCTAATATTCCAGCAGCAGTTGCACCAGAGCCAAATACAGAGATAAAATAACCTCTCTACTTACGATCCCCCAGTCTATGCATTCCAGGGTCACGTTAATTCTTTTGGCCACAGCCTTACACTGGGAGCTCATGTTCAGCTGGTTATCTACCCTGACCCCCAAATCTTTTTCACGGTCACTGTTTCCCAGAACAGAGTCCCCCATATCATAAGTATGGCCTACATTCTTTGTTCCTAGGTGTATACATTTACACTGAGCCATATTAAAATGCATAATGTTTGCTTGTGCCTTCTTTACCAAGTGAACCAGATCACTCTGAATTACCACTCCCCCAGGCTTGTGTCATCTGCAAAGTGATGATTTTATGTTTTCTTCCAGGTCACTGAAAAAAATGTTAAATAGGGCCAAGAATCAATCCCTGTGGAACCCCACTATAAACAAACCTGCCTGATGAGGTTTCTTCATTTACAATTACAGTTTGAGATCTATTTGTTAGCCAGTTGTTCATCCATTTTAATATGTGTATGTTAATTTTATATTGCTCCTTCTTCTTCCAAAAATGGCATAGGCGCCTAGCTCCAAAGAGGATTCCTGGCTGTGAATTGCTAGCAGAGGTAGGTGCCTCTCTCCCTGATAAGTGTGGGGCTTAACACACACCTCTGTGGTTGGCATCTCCAAGTGGCTAGTTTAGGAGGGTCCCTGCCTAGCATGCTAGCTTTTGTGAACTGTAGTCTAAGGCACCTGTCTCTCCCCATTCATTTTACAGAAGCTTAGGCGCCTAACTCAGGCTGTATGAATTGCAGTGATTTTCCAGGTGCCATTCTTTTGTGCATCCAAGCCAAGATGACGTTACAGTTGGGAGATACATCTGTGTTAAAATGAAAGAATAGAGCACGGATTAAAAAAAATC